CTATTTATTAACGCAAGTCATTTGTATCAGGTTGGGTTGAACAATGCATTGACTAGCTTGTGGCGGAGTCATGGAGGGAGGCCTTTCTTCCTCAGTTTTATTTCTTTAACTGGGCATACTGGAAATTAGGGCAGGGCCGTATTTAGAATCAATGAGGCCCTCGGTGGCTTTCACCAGAGAAATTTCTATATTTTGATTCTCGAAGGTTGGAACCTAAGGGTTTAGAAATACAAGTAAAATTGCTTCAACTTGATGAATTTAATTTTTGATTCCAACAATCCGATCGGCAAAAAGTCCTAGGAGACTAGCTAATAAATAAGTCTATTATTATTTTTATAACAATATTAGGGGTCTTAGGTCGGGGCCAGACATTATTGATTTCTTTCGGGCTGAGTCAAAAATGTTGACCTTTAAACATCGGATCAAAATTGGGTAGTTTTGGAACAAATTAATTTATAATATATTAATTGATATACTATGATAGATTTATACAAAATCTTTAATTGCATCCAAACTGTAAGAGTCTTCTGCGCTCACAGTAAAGTCGTGGACAGCTTCTACGTTCACAGCAAAATAGAAGACTATAAAACAAAAATGGATAAATCATGCGCGATTGTGGAGTCATCATCTTCATCTCCTCTGATCACGGCTGAATGATGATCGACTCCTGTGGCCGTGGAGAAAGAGATAACATTTTGCGTGAGCGCAAAATCATGACGAAATCGTGAAAATCTTATGAGTTTGCGAGGACATGATCTTCGATTCCCGCAGCCGTGATAAAATACTGAATATCTTCCGTGATTGAGGATGCATAGTGACAACTCCTTTGTTAACGGCAAAATTTTGAAGATCTATTGCAGTTACGCAGATTTCATCAACGTCTCCCGCGATCACGGTGAAACATATTAAGGAATAAATGTTAAGGAAATACGGCCCTGATTTGGGCTTCCATGGTTGAGGGTCTGTTAGACTCTTAAGGTTTACATCTGGGCGGATTCTTTAATCTCTGTAGTGTCGCCAGTTTGTTGCTGTGTTTCCAATGTTGTCAGTTTTAATGTCGTAGATTAATTTGAAAAGTAGAGTTGGTGTATTCTTCTTGTTTTTACACAGGAGAAATGTACATAAGGTGATAAACAAACATTGCTAAAAACACAGTCAACAACAAATAAGTTAATCCGATAATTATAATTCAAGTTCATGCACCTGGAATGGGAAAAGGATATAAACCAGAAATTAAACCAGTCACCATATTAAAATGGCACAACGTAAAAGGTTGATATCACATATCATCATGGATCTTTTATTTAAGTAATGATGACTGATTGTTTAATTTCAAGTCAATATCTGCATAGATTGGACATTTTAGCCCTAAAATATTTCAAACTCTGATCAATAGGTAGGTTAAAAGTTATCTAGAATTTTAAATTTTATAGTATTAAAAAAATTTAATTATTGTTTTATATAACTGTGCTAGTTGCCATATTTTACATTGAAAATAATTCTTATCCTTAAACAGATATCTAAAATTATAAAATTATATAAACATGGTGGTTTTTCCATTTGAGATTTTAAATGAATGGTTTAAGTATAAAGACAAAATCTTTTTGGACGAGTTTCAGATTTTCTCTATAACTCTAAATAAATTAAATGTCTATTTAATTTTTTGTACTAAGTAGCTAAGCTTAAGGTAACTTAGTACAAAGAAATTAAATATTCTAGTTCTTGCCACTGGGAAAATACATAAAAATATCATTATAAATATATTACCTTAAACATTGCATTTTGTTATTAAGTGATGTAAAACTAAATATTTTAAAATGCTCAGTTTGGCTAACCAATGGTGTTATACCAATCCTAAAAATACTTCTAAACTAGACAAATGGTTTAATCATAAACTTATTTTGTTTAAGTAGGCTAAAAAAGTAATCCTAAAATATCTCAGTAGTGCATAATTTAATCCTGTTATAAAAACAGCATTGCATGTATTTATAAAACTAACTGGGTTATCATATTGTTCTCCTGTTTCAGACAACGCTGTCCCAAGTAATATAACAAAACCGCTTTTTAATATGATTGAAGTTTTTAGGCTCAACGGCGTTCTTGAAAAACAGCCTAAATTACATTTTTTGAAAACATTTAAAGATCAAGAATCTTGGCCAAAAATTACATAATATATGTTTTAGTATATAAGTGTAAAATAAAATTTTAAAATCCAGATGTATGTAAATTATTGATTATTGTATAGTACAAAAATATAATCAAATTAGGATCTTTTAAATGTAAAATTTCATCAAGTATTGAAATAAACTGTAACACACTTAAAACTTTTAAGTCTTGTTTTATAAGTAAGATGAAATATTTAAAGCCTTTCTCATTATGAAAAAATGAATATTTCTGATTAGTTTAAGGATTGATTAACCTTAATAAGAAATATTTACTCTAAAACAAATGGTTTTTTAAATCAAAAATATTTAGATTCAGGAGATAACAATATGAGAAAGTGTTAAACAAACCTACCATGGGCGTTCATCTAACAGTTTCATAAGGGGGGCTGGAGGACAGGGAGTAAGAAATAATTACCCCCGCCGCAGCAAACCTGCAGACTAAGCGAATTTCAACTTGTCTGATTACATTTTTGCTAAAATATTTCCATAAATAAGACATATTTATTCCCGATTTAAATAACATTAGATTTAACCAGTGCTTAGGTTTGCTGCTACGGGGAAGGTAAAAAGTGTTTTTTGACCAATAGTATAGAATGAAATAAATAAATTTGCCAAATTTTATCAACATATATCCATAAACAAGTAAACTACAACAGTTTTCATTTTCTCTATAAGAATAACATGGGAATTTAAATTACACTTTTTTGAATTTTCTCCTTGACCGTTAGGCATAAAACAGCGCTTCAATATACTAAATTATTTCTTTTTTTAAGCTCTACAAACAAAGCTTGGGCTCCGCTTGCCTATATGAATCCTACATAATATTTTACTAAAAATTTTTACTACCTTAGTTTTGGCTATGAGAATAAGTAGTTCATTTTAAACATGTACAAATAAAATAAAAAAACTAATTTTTATAATCTCAATAATAATGTGGGTAATCAACAGTCAATTTATTTTCACACTGTTCAAAATAACACAGCAAAGCATAAAAGAATTGAAACAAGATAAAAATTGATTTAATGCACCAGTAAACGAGTGCTTAAGCTTGAGTTTCCACTTGTTTTCAGTGAATGTTCCTTTCCTTTTTCAGATGAGCCCATCCCCTATATCATGACCGATCCGTGTTTTGATCTAATCCAGATCCTAAGGACCAAAGGAGTTGTCCACAGGTTTTTCAAATTTGAACGTTTAGTAAAATTCAAAGAGCACGAATCAACCCTTGATAAACTGAAGGAGCAGGTACCTCCATGACCTGTTTGCAGATGTGAATTTTAAGTCCTGTACATAGAGTAGTTATAGAAATATTGTGCAGTTTATTTGATACAATAAATAGTTACATTTTTATAATTTGCACTATTTTAGTCTTGATACTAACATAAAATCAAATGAAAAATAAAGTGGTGTCTGTGTGTATGTTATCCAATTATGCAAACACTCTATTGTTCGGCCAGACAGATAGCGACCTGCGAGGGGATTTGTCGCGCATGTATGAGGAGGTCGCTTTCTAAGCGGCCAACCTATAGTTTTAAACCTATACACATTTCTCCATCAACAACTACAACCAAGAACTCAGAAAACAAATTGAGGTAAATATTGATTAATATTGTTCTTGATACTCAGTCAACAAATATGCACACACTCTGAATCAAAAGTTTATTGTTTTAGAGCTGGGTGCTGTGTAGTATAATCGCGAAAGTGACCCATTTTGGGGAAAGACTAAATAATCTATGCATTTGGGAAAGCCATTAAAAAAAAAAACTGTTTAGCCCTGAAATGGTTTTTTTGTAAATCATATACTATACTCTGTTTACCAAAAACTTTAGCAGTTTTAGGGGAAGAAATCATCCCCTACACTTGATCCTACCTTTAAAAAATAGCTCAACAGCTGAGGTTTGCCAAATGTCAAGATTGGTTGACATCTAAATATATAAAAGGCAAAGCCCTCACTGACACACTCACTCACTCACTCATCACTAATTCTCTCACTTCCCATTTACCTAGGAGGCTGAAATTTGGCACATTGATTCTTTAGGCATTAAATAGGAAAACTAAGTTGTTTTTATTCTGATCGGACTCTCGGGCTCCGCCCCAGTGGCTCTGGAGTTTCCCATGTTAACCTTATGAGAAATGAATTAATGAATCTTAACAGCTGTTTCAATTAAACAAGTTGGTTCTGTTCTGTGATGTTCAATAGCATTAAAGTTGCAAGGATTACCAACAGGGTGCAGCACTATTATTTTTTAAACATCATTATGTTAAAGTAAAAGGTCTACAGTTTCTATAGTCAATGATATTTATACAGTACAGTAGGAACCCAGCTGTCTAAATCATTGACTATAGAAACTGTAGACCTTTTACTTTACTTTAACACAGAAGAAGAAACTGTCCTTAATGTAAACATCTGTTAAAATAAAATTGTAAACAAATAAGAAATTAATCTTTGTTTTGTTTATATTTATGATCTTTATTTTGTGCAGTGGTGTGACAGGTTAAAATTTAACTTCACACAATTTCAGTGTTTTATTATTTTCTTATTTGTTAACAGTTTTATTTTTATTGGTTTCTTTTAATTTATTTTTATTTTTTGACATGGATACAAAATTGACAATATTTGGAAAAAAAGACTTGCAGTTTAAAGTTATTCACATGCCTCCAGATGGTTCCTGCCTCTTTCATTCCATATGCTACTCGGTTTATGGAAATAATTTATACACCGATTACGTAAGAGAGAAAATAGTTAACTATGTCTCTACCAATTGGGCAAAATTCCAAATTTTAACACATGACATTAAAGGGAATAATTATATATCCCCTGAACACTACCGCCATGAGATGCTGAAACCATCGACTTACGGATCAGCATGTGAGTTGATTGCCGCATCTGAATTCTTTCACTGCATATTCAGAGTATACCATGATGGTCATTTACTGCAGAGCTTTGGTGTTGAGGGAACAGCAACTGAGTATCATATACTGTTCTCTGGTAATCTCAGTAGTGGACACTTTGATGTTCTTGAGCCAACTCATAATACTGAAAATGATCATGACTCATCGACGAAGTTCAATATTGTCCTTGAAAATAACCATCAAAAGGCACCAGAAATTCCACCCAAACCGTATCGGAAAGCAGTTTCACAATGCACTGAAAATGAAGGGGTGAACTTTGAATACAGCATAGAACAATCTAAAGCTAAACGGTTAAAGCAAATTGCAACTTCACAACCTGTTGAAACTTCCATCAGGATAAGTCACATTAGAGACATTTTACATGATGAAAAAGAACTAGGCCTACTTGAGCATGTAAATCAAAAAACAAATAATTTTCAGTCTTATGACAGTTACACGGAAAATATTGAACAACCCGAAAATACAGCTAAACAAGACAAATTAAAATCAAAAAAGAAACGAACCAAGCGGAAAGGGCAATTTTCCAATGCACCACGTTCAAAACAACTGCGTGATGCTGCAGCTAAATATAAAATAACACACCCAGAAGTCAACAGAGCTGCTGTGGCGAAATACACTCAGCAAAACCCGGAAGTCAATCTTGCGGCTGTTGCCAAGTATACTCAGCAAAACCCAGAAGTCAATCGTGCGGCTGTTGCCAAGTATACTCAGCAAAACCCGGAAGTCAATCGTGCGGCTGTTGCCAAGTATACTCAGCAAAATCCAGAAGCACACCGATTAGCTGTCGCGAAGTATACAAAAAATAAACCTGAAGTGAACCGGGCTGCTGTTTCAAAATATGATAAAAATCATGAAAAGCGCCAGCAGCGTAAAAACAAGACGTGGTCTGCAAACGCAAACTCTGGATTCCAATATGACCCTAATATTTGTTATGAATCGGATAAAATCATTTCGTTAGGACCCATGGAAGTTTTATGCAATCATTGTAAAGCTCTAAAATGGAAAAACGAATCCAACGGATTGTGTTGTGACAATGGAAAAGTTTGTATTAACCGCCTTGAAAAACGACCTGAACCTCTTCACAGCCTCATTGTCGGTGGTCATCCCGAAAGTGAACACTTCCTCAGCAACTCCAGAAAGTATAATAGTGCTTTCCAAATGACTTCCTTTGGAGCTAAACAAATTTATGAAAGCGGCTTTATGCCTACATTTAAGGTACAAGGACAAGTATACCATTTAATTGGTAGCCTGCTACCTTCATCAAACAACGATGATCATCAGTTTTTACAGCTATATTTTATTGGCGATGACAATAAGGAAACAACTGCACGCTGTGACAAGGTCCCAGGAATCAAACCAGCATTAGTCCACATGATTCAAAACATGCTTCATAATTTTAATACTTATGTTATGGACTTTAAATGCGCTATTGAAAATATGTCAGAAGATAGTAGTGAATTCCAAGTCCTCATTCATGCTGATAAAAAACCTACTAATGCCCACAGGGGCAGGTACAATGCACCGGTATCAGGAGAAGTTGGTGCAGTGGTTGTTGGCCAAGAGTTTGGTAAGAGAGATATTTTAATTAAGAGCAGGGACAATAAACTTCAGCGCATTTCAGAAACGCACAGGGCTTACGATGCATTGCAGTATCCTCTAATGTTCTGCTATGGTGAAGATGGCTATTCCATATCCATTTCTCAGTATGACCCTGTTACAAAGACTCATTTGCAGAAAACAGTTTCTGCTGCAAGCTATTATTGTTTTCGGTTAATGGTTTTAAGTGAAGAAATAAATTACTTGCATTATTTCCGTGGCCTACTTAATCAGTTCATGGTTGACATGTACGCCAAAATTGAAACCGAGAGATTAAACTTCATTAGAAATAATCAGAAAAAACTTCGGGCTGAAAACTACGTTCACTTAAAAGATGCAGTCGGGAAAGGTGATACAAATCCAGAAGACCTAGGACAAGCAGTGATCTTGCCTTCAACATTCACTGGTGGGGCGCGGTACATGCACAAGCGGACACAGGACGCCATGACCTACGTGCGGCACTATGGAAGGCCAGATCTGTTCATCACATTTACGTGTAACCCTAAGTGGGATGAAATAACTGAAAATCTGTTTGATGGACAAAAGCCTCAGGACCGCCATGATTTAATCAGTCGTGTATTTCACCTTAAAGTAAAATCCATGATCAATTTACTAACAAAGGTTGGCATTTTTGGGCCGAGCTTATGTTTCATGTACACCATCGAGTGGCAAAAGAGGGGACTACCCCATGCCCATATCCTTCTATGGTTGAAAACCAAAATCAAGCCTGAAAAAATCGATCAAGTCATTTGCGCTGAGATACCAGACCCTGAAGCAGATACAAAACTTCACAACATTGTTAAATCCACAATGATTCATGGCCCTTGTGGTGACTTAAACAAGAAATCACCGTGCATGGTGAAGGGATTGTGTAGCAAACAATACCCTCGACCTCTTCTTAAAGAAACTCAGACTGGGGATGATGGTTACTCCAAGTACCGCAGACCTCAAATGACGGTGGACATACAGTCAAAATTAGCAACATGACTCTGGACAATAGGTGGGTAGTGCCCTACAATCCTGTACTTTCCCGTACATTCAACGCACATATCAATGTAGAATATTGTAATTCTGTAAAATCAATAAAATATGTTTGTAAGTATGTAAATAAAGGAAGTGACCAGGCAGTGTTCTCTTTAAGTGACCAACTTGACGAAGTGGCTCGGTATGAATCGGGGCGTTACATAAGCAGCTCCGAAGCAGCTTGGAGAATATTTTGTTTCCCTATACATGAACGCTTTCCTCCAGTATTTCACCTTGCTGTACATCTCGAAAATGGGCAAAGAGTGTACTTTACAGCAACTAATGTCACTGATAGAGTCAATAACCCAGCTAAAACCACTCTTATTGGGTTTTTTGAATTGTGCCAGCATGATGACTTCGCTAAAGGTCTTCTTTACTGTGAGGTTCCAGCATACTATGTATGGAAATCCAACAAGTTTGTAAGAAGGAAGCAAGGACTTCCTGTGCAGAGCCACGTTGGAATAAAAAAGGACCATGTCTTAGGAAGGGTATACACTATACACCCCAACAATTTTGAATGCTACTACCTCCGTATTTTACTACACAAAGTCAGAGGGCCCACGTCATTCGAATGTCTCAAGACTGTTAGAGGGGTTGTTCATCCAACCTTTAAGGCAGCTTGCAGCGCGCTTGGGTTACTAGAGGACGACTCTCACTGGAATCACACACTAGAGGAAGCTTCCCTTTCAGATTCCCCTTATAAGATCCGTGAGCTGTTAGCTACCATGCTGGTGTTTTGTCAAGTAGGAAACCCCATGGAACTATGGGATAATCATAAAGAGAGTTTGGCAGATGATATAAGGAGGTCAGTGGGTAAAGATTTTGATGATGTTGAGCAAGTTATGGACATTGTTTACAACAGGTGTTTGGTTTTGCTTGAAGAGTTGGTTTATTCGATTTCTGGAAACTCACTCAAACATTACGGCCTTCCTACCCCATCACGTGAGCATAGTGTGACAACCAACCGAGAACTTCTAAGGGAACTCAATTATGATGTAGCCCAACTATCTGATGCAGTTGCTGTAAATGCCGCAAAGTTAAATCAAGATCAACATAAAGTTTACAAGGAAATCACAAGTAGTATTACATCAGAATTAGGGCACCTCTTTTTCCTGGATGCTCCTGGTGGAACAGGTAAAACATTTTTAATCAATTTATTACTGGCCAAAGTGAGAAGTGAAAGGAAAATCGCTATCGCAGTTGCTTCCTCAGGCATTGCAGCAACATTGCTTGATGGGGGAAAACCGCACACTCCGCTTTCAAGATACCTCTTAATTTGAACCACACAGAAACACCAATGTGTAACATATCAAAGAATCAAGAATCAAGAATCAAGAATTTATTACAACAAATTACAAAAAAACATTTTGTATAGTTGAGGTCAATATGAAATGTCCAGTGGTTAGCATTAGGGCCTATAACATTCAATAACTAGGCTACTTTAAATAATTTAAACAACAAAAACAAAGTAAGTTACACAGATTTAAGGCCTACATCAGTCAGAAACTAAAAACTAATATCAATGTCAGACATGAAAAATTCACTTAAACTATAAAAAGGGTGATTTAATAACCAGCAAAAAAGTTTACTTTTAAATAACTTAAGATCAACACAATGTGCCTCAGCTGGCAAACGATTAAACATTTTTAACCCTATATAAGAAAAAGACTCTTGTGACTTTGTTAGCCTGACTAAAGGTAACTCTAAATTATTCCTATGTCTAGTAAAATAACTATGTGAATGTGATCTCAAGGCTACAGCATTAATATTAACTTTTACATAAACAAGACACACATAAATAAATAAATTAAAAACAGTGAGTATTTTTTCCTGAATAAACAAGGGTTTGCAATGGGCTCTGTACTTAGAAAAAGTAATGATTCTTAAAGCCTTCTTTTGTAGGAGCAAGATTCTGCTAACATCATGACCACAGCCCCACAGCAAAATACCGTAGCTTAAAATACTATTAAAGAAGGCAAAGTAGGCCATCCGTAGGTAGTGTCTAGGGATTAATTTTTTAAGCTTGCGGAGTAAGTAAATAACTCTTGAGAGCCTACTACAAACATGGTCAATGTGCACACTCCAGCCCAATTTAGAATCCAGGTATATACCCAATAATTTAACATTATCACAGAGTTGAGGAAAGTTTAAATCATGGTTACTTAAACTAAATAAAATAGATTGAGTCTTACTATTATTCAATAGAAAACCGCTACTTTTGAACCAATCGTTACATTCAATGAGACAGTTGGACATATAAACATTAAGATTATCTAAACTGTGATTAGGTCTACTGCAGAAAAAAGTTGAATCATCAGCAAAAATTATAGAATTACAATTTACATTAACAGGCAAGTCATTAATTACAACTAAGAATAGAAATGGGCCAAGGACCGATCCCTGGGGCACGCCACTCTTCACTACCGACACCTCAGAGAGCTTATTGTTATACAAGACTTTCTGTGTGCGGTTGGCCAAATAGGTCCGAAAAAAGTTTAGCTCAACACCTCTTATGCCGTATTGTTCAAGTTTTGTGAGAAGGATGTCGTGCGGAACACAGTCGAAAGCCTTTGAAAGGTCACACATGGTGGTGAGTGTGCTTTCATGCTTTTCAAAACCTTTTAAAGCAGCAACAACAAGGCTACCAACTGCGTCCACAGTTGACAGTCCCCCTCGAAAGCCGAATTGGGATTTAGAAAACAAATTATTGGATTCAAAAAATTTAGTTACCTGGTGTATCACAGCCTTTTCCAAAATTTTTGAGAAGATCGGTACAACGGAGATCGGTCGATAGCTCTCAAGACATAAAAAATCACCTTTTTTGAAAATAGGCACAACTTTAGATAATTTAAGGGATTCTGGAAAATTACCAGACATTAAACAAATATTGATACAAAGGGTAAGTGGGGATAATATCACAGATAGCACTTCCTTGATGAGAACACTGCTGATATCAAAGATATCACGGCTTTTACTATTTCTTAAGCCAATCACAATATTTGCTACTTCCTCACTAGACACTGGCTTCAGAGTGAAATCTGGTACGTTGATGGGCACCTTCATCATATTTTTAGCAGCAGCAATGGAAGGCGGCACTTGGTTGCGGACATCATCAACCGAAGAGACGAAGAAGTCACTGAAGATCTGCGAAGTCAGTGAGTCAGCCGATGGAGTAGTTTTCCCCGTGGATGAATTATTAATTAACTCCCATGCACGTTTGCATTGGTTGGGCGCATAGGATATATTGTCAGCATTAGACTTGAGTTTTGCCTGGTTAAGAGCTCTCCGATAACTTGCTTTTGCTTCGACATATCTCTGTTTAGCAGTGACAACTAAAACATTATACCTTTCTGCCCACTGCCAAAAATCGTAAAGCTTTTCAACTTCTCTTCGCTGTTGGGTTAGTTCATGACTGTACCATTTCATTTTAGTTTTATTCTTACTGTTGATAGGCTTAACAGTCTTAAAGGGGAAGCATTCCTTCATAGCATCCAGAAAAGTAGAGAGAAACTTGCAAAAGATATCGTCCTTATGATTAGATAACACTTCATCCCAGTTTACGTTTAACAGAACCAACTTGAAAGATTCTATTTTAGGTCTACTGAAGTCCCTGATCAGCTTAGGAGTAGGTTTTACATGGTCGATATTTTTAGCCAGACAGATCGATGTTAACAGAGCATTGTGGTCAGACAAGGGTGGTGAGAGAACTGAAGTGTTTGTATCTTCTTCAGGTAAGTCTGTAACCACATTATCAATGCAAGCACCTCCACGGGTAGGCTTAAAATTTAAACAACGACAGTTAGAAGAACGCAGGACATCAAGAAAGTTTACAGTAAGGCTATCCTTAGAGTGAACGTCAATATTAAAATCGCCACAAGCTATAATTGGTAGGCCAGCAAAATTGGTAGGCCAAAGCAATGCAGCCTAGCACAAGTACTGAGAGAAACTCAATTAATAGTGTGGGATGAGTGTACCATGGCCCATAAAGGAGCTATCGAAGCATTGGACAGAACACTCCGTGACTTAAGAAATTGTGACCATCTGATGGGCGGTATCACGGTTCTCCTGGCTGGCGATTTTAGGCAAACTCTGCCTGTAGTGCCCCGTGGAACCCGCGCTGATGAGGTCAAAGTATGTCTCAAGTCATCTTATTTATGGCCTAAAATAAAAATGCTGACATTGAGGGTTAACATGAGGGTTTACCTGAATGGTGATTTAGATAGTGAAGAGTTTTCAGCCCTAATCTTACAGATAGGAGATGGGAAGGTGTCGGAGGATAGTGATGGAAAATTTTGTATCCCTCAAGGCCTCTGTTCTGTTGTTCACGATTTAAAATCACTGATCAGTAAGACATATCCAGGTATAAATGATGAAGAGAGTCACAGCCTGGCATGGTTACAGGAGAGAGCAATTCTAACACCAACAAATGAATCTGCAAATGGTATAAATCTTTCATTGTTAGAGCAACTACCTGGAGAAATGTCAACATACGAGTCAGTGGACTCAGTTGTCGAGGCAGAAGATGCTGTTCACTATCCATTAGAATTTCTACATTCCCTTAATCCGCCAGGGATACCCCCTCATCTTCTTTTTCTAAAGATTGGTTCCCCCATTATGCTTCTCCGGAATCTGAATCCACCTAAACTTTGCAATGGGACCAGGCTACAGGTGAATGTTTTACACAAACATGTGATAGAAGCAACGATATTCACAGGCGTTGGCCAGGGAGATACTGTTTTCATCCCACGGATACCGATGATCCCGTCAGACCACCCCTTTCAATTCAAGCGACTGCAGTTCCCTGTAAAGGTGTGTTACGCGATGACCATCAATAAGGCACAGGGGCAGAGTTTAAAGATGGCAGGCGTGGATTTAAGGAATGACTGCTTCTCCCATGGACAGCTATATGTCGCGTGCTCGCGAGTCAGTTCTCCAGGCAGCCTGGTCATCCTCCAACCAGAAGAAAGGACAAAGAATATTGTTTACGTAGAAGTTCTTAGTAAATAAAGAGAAAACACTTTTCAAAACACTTTAAGTTCTATTTATCTGTATTAATAGTAAGTAAGAGTATGGATAAGAATTAATGAAACCGACACTGACTAATACAAATTGCATATTTTTTTAAATTATCATTCATACAAATGAAAATTTTAATTCTCTAATAAATTTGTACAAATTTATACGGGGCGAAGCCCGCGGGTAACAGCTAGTTTTTCATAAATTAGTGTTAGTTCCAACAGCCTTCAGTAAAAAATTCAGCTACAACCTTTTTTGCTCCATATTAAAGCAGCTATTATAATGTCTCACGGGATCCATAAAGTCATAGATAAAACATACTCCCTTAGTAGATTTCTCATCCTTATGGAACAGCTGAAGACAATTTTATTGTTAGTACATGTACGGTTTATGTAGAGGTCGTGTTTTGTTTACAATTTGTTTCCCGTTATTACAGACATTTAAAACCTCGTTTAACCAAATAATACGATCTAATCATAAACAATAACTCTTCCCCTAGTTATATAACCAAACAGTAAAGCACAAATCAAGAAATTAACCCAAAAATAATGGAAACAAAGTTTCATCGACACTAGCACCTTTGTGTCACGTACATGAACTAGACACGAAAAACGTGCTTCAAAATTTACAATGGGATGAGAAGTCTACTTGTGTTGGTTAGTCTATGATAAAGTGTGTATGCTCAGGGTGGTTACCCATGACCAGACTGCATAAAGGTTTAGGTAGGTGCTGCAAAGGTAGTAGCTACACTTTACCACCATTGCAGTACATACCCGGTGTTTATTCTTTCCATTTTAAGGCTTCGCAGTACTTAGGCCTGCATTATTTGAACGTTGTGGTACCTATCGCCACCGAGCTATCTCCTTCGTAGTCTATTTTCGGATTATATGTCATTGTTGATAGATGTTTCACCATCCATTGAATCTTTGGAAAATGTATTTTAGAATGAGTTTGTTTATACCTTTTGATTGCGTTCTTCGTCTGCTTTTTCCTTTGTTTGTCTGTGCACCTGCTACGCCGTTTACGCCTTAATGTATTTTGTTGAGATTCCGGAATCAGCTGACGATTGGGAGAAACGGGCTCTTTTTGTGGCTCTAAAACGTCAGAGTGCCCGCTAGACAGGGATTGTGTCAATTTGAGTCTTTTCATGGGATTTCGTTCATCACCAAACTTGATATATAATTCACACTTTTCCGATAAATCTTGAAAACAAATTTGAATAGTTGTGAAGCTACAACCTACCAAAGGCAAACGGCTTAGACATTAAATAGAAGTATTCCCTGGAATTGAGGTAATTATTCCCGTCACTGTCGTATAGAATAAGATTGAGAAGTAGTCCCAGTTCCTCACATTTTCAACAATTTCTTCGCACACAGTTATTAGTGTGTGTATGTGTGTAAGGTGATGATAAATGAGTTTTTTTTTTCTTAGGACGCTAGGCACGAGCCTGGGATTGTTTTTCACATTACTTCAGGCTAGACCTAGGGGTTGCGGCATTATCACTTAGGTAAAATCCATTGGTGACTTGGCGGGGATCGAACCCGGGACCTCAGGGACTGAAGTCCCGCGCTCTAACCACTACGCCAGCTCGCTCCCCATGATAAATGAGAGTGAAGTAAATAAAAACACTTCATCTCCTCTGATCACTAAAAGTATTAACTTAAGATATTAACCGTATACTTTCCCAGACATTATTTTTTGGGAAATAAACCATACAAAAACAATAGGTTTTTATAAACATTTGAGGAAAAAGAAAGTCAATAAGATACGCACTTAAAATTTAAAACTCCTTATTCACACACTATCAAAAATTATTTATTAAACAAACTTCCTCTTTTATAAATATAAATATAGCTAATGATGCAAAAAATTTAGACAATCAATAGTGCTGCACCCTGTTGGTACATTTTGTAACCTTTTAATGCTATTGATCATCACAGAATCAAATTGTTTAGTTGAAACAGCTGTTAAGATTCTTTAATTCCATTTAAATATGAGTGCTCATAAGGTTAACATGGGAAACTCCAGAGCCACTGGGGCGGAGCCCTTTAGACGGATCTGCACCAAACTTCACACAAACCATCCTTGAATAATGCTTAATAATGCCTGAAAGTTTCATTACAATCTGTCCAGCGGTTTTGGAGTCCATAACGTTCAAACATATATATATACAAACTTCCTCTTTTATAAATATACTAGCTGGCCCGACAGACGTCGTCCTGTCCTAATGTGGTTTTATGTCAAATGCTCGTTCATTTTCAAGATGAGCTCGTTGGCATCGCTCAATCACGTCCTGGTTGAAGTTCGTTTGCTTCGCTTACTCACCTTTAGGTTAGAGCTCGTTCGCTGCGCTCACTTGCCTTCAGGTTTAGCTCGTTCGCTACGCTAACTCGCCTCCAGGTTGAAGTTTGTTCGCTATGCTCACTCACCTTTTGGTTGCAAATTAGCTGTTGTCATAAATTACAAAAAAATAATAGTGCTGCACCCTGTTGGTAAATCTATTAACTTTTTAATCCCATTGAACATCACAGAATCAAATTTTTTAGTTGAACCAGCTGTTAAGATTCTTTAATTCCATTTAAATATAAGTACTCATAAGTTTAACATGTGAAACTCCAGAGCCACTGGGGCGGAGCCCTTTTGACAGATCTGCACCAAACTTCACACAAACCATCCTTGAATAATGCTTAACAATTCCTGAAAGTTTCATTAAAATCTGTCGAGCGGTTTCGGAGTCCATAACGTTCAAATATATCTAATATATAAAATTCTCGTGTCACAGTGTTTGTCTGCAAACTCCTCCGGAACGACTTCACCGATCGTTATGAAATTTGGTGTGTAAATTCTGTAGGTATGCGAATCGGACGTAAACTATTTCCCGTTTCGAAATTCTTAAAAGGGCTCCGCCCCAGTGGCTCTGGAGTTTCCCATGTTAACCTTATGAGAAATGGAATTAATGAATCTTAACAGCTGTTTCAATTAAACAAGTTGGTTCTGTTCTATGATGTTCAATAGCATTAAAGTTACAAGGATTACCAACAGGGTGCAGCACTATTATTTCTTTTACATTTATGACAACAGCTAATTTGCAACCAAAAGGTGAGTGAGCGTAGCGAACGAACTTCAACCTGGAGGCGAGTGAGCGTAGCGAACGAGCTAACCTGAAGGCAAGTGAGCGCAGCGAACGAGCTCCAAACTAAAGGTGAGTGAGCGTAGCGAACGAGCTCCAACCCAAAGGTGAGTGAGCGTAGCGAACGAACTTCAACCAGGACGTGATTGAGCGATGCGAACGAGATCATCTTGAAAATTAAACGTAACGGTACTTTCTTTCCATCGGTCTGTCTTAGGGGAAACCTATAACTTAGGCGATACGAAGTTCGCCGGGTCAGCTAGTATATATATATATATATATACAAACTTTCTCTTTTATAATTATAGATATATATTTATACACTAAGCAAAAATATGTGGCGGGGAACTTCCCCTCAAACTGCCTAAATACTCGGAAGCGCCGTGCTTGTAAAACACGATTGTGTACCAAAAAGACCCACTTTTGCTCCTACTGATCAAAACTACTATTCTAATCAAATCATGGTTGCAAGACTTGCAACCAATTTAAAGGTTTTTTTTTGTGTTTAGAATTTAAGACACAGTGCAGTGGTGTAGTGGTAAATTTTTCAGTACTGAAACACTGACCATTGTCCCAGAAAAATACAGAAAATATAGGTTCTTTGGAAAAAGCAGAGTGGGGGAACGCCATTCCTGTTAATACTGTTAATCACAGGTACACCCAACTCCACCACTGATACAGTGTCCACAAAAAGTCTGGGTACAAGATTTTGTTTTGTGAACCAGTAGATGTATACAATGTATGCAATTGAAGATTATGGTATGAAGCTTTACACAAGTAGGCCTACTGTAACTAAATGTTAACTTTGTAAAGCAATTAAATGTTTTCCAGCATACCATACTGGATATGGTTCATAAGGAGTTGAAAGATAAAGGTACAGCTGCTAACATTAGGTCAGTTGCACCGAGGAGATTTTTTTTCAAAACTAGGTTCTTCAATTAATATGGAGCGGCTGAGCCCCTTATATTTATAATTTCCTAGTCGCTGATCTGTAGGCTAGGGCTATATTAAAGTTAGAACATTCAAGACAAATTTCACTCATGTGTATAGGGAACTCAAATAATCTGATATTCATGAAAAACATAAGGTTGAGCTGATAAACAGCTGTTAACATGCAGATAAGTTTAATGAATTATCTTATAACTATCGTAAGTGTAACTTAGAGCTCCAAATTTTTGATTGCCCTTCACTGTAAATGGATATAATGATTACATAACATGTTACTCACCATGTTTCATCTGTGAAAAAGTTAAGAGTGTTAAAGTTTTTGGTTGTCAATAACAACAGAAGCAAACATACATCAGCTCAGGAACAAAACAAAAACATCCAATCAAATAAATTTTAAAGATGGTAAGTTTTGGCCCCTTTACATAATTTAGAGTAAAAAAGTACTAATTAAGGCTAAATTTATTTACTTAATTGTTACATATACGATATGATTTGAAAAAAAATTTAAGTTGTGCGATGCTTTAAAAGGTAAGTGTTATCTCTCTTTTAAACTAACAATGGTTATGAGGTTATGAGAGTACCCCAATTTTCATTCGCTGTCAAATGATAAGTAATTCAACACATGAATGAACATATGTTATTACAACATCGATTAAACTATGCCATATTAGCACACATTATGCTATGGGGTTGTTATATAATGTGATTTTACTGTGGAAACCTATTTGAATAATTGTGATTCTTTTGCAAACACTTTGAGATTGTTTGGATCACATTTCATCGTTGGTCGACATCAAGCTGTTCCAGATCGGAAAGTGGTAGGGAACTGGGTAAAAGTATTTTGAGTAACAGCTTAAAGCATCAAAATAATTGGAAGAAGCCACAACACTCCTCATTCTCCAGAAAATGTGGTAAGAGTGTGAGTCACAGTAACTCTAAGTCCAAAGAGGATTGTCAGGAAGCCTTCGTTGTTGGAAGCTTTCCATTGATTATTCTTTCTTTGGTGGTTCTCCCTATAAAATAGCTTAAAGTTTTCAATGTCGCCCCAGAGATTTGTTTGACCTGAAGTTAAGGATTTTCCTGGAAATTTAAGTTGTTCCTGAAGAAATGCTGTTGTGAGTATTCCATTAAATTTCTAAAGTTGCCACAAGAATGTCAAGTAGAACAACGACGTCACTTGTATGACGTTGTTTTCAAGAAATGGAAAATTACACCAAGTTAAAATGAAATGAGATAAGCTGTATTTTGATGTACTAGCTATATGTGTTGGGTAAACAGTATTAAATTTGTACCTATCTATATATAAAATTGGGGTGCTTGCATTATTGCCTCGCCCTGTATAACCCTAATAAATAGTTTGTTTTATTTCCACACACAAAGGAAATCAGGAGAATTTTAAAGAATGTCTTAATCTTAACCTCACCAAAGTTGTAACAGGTTCATCATTAGTAATACATAGCCTTGCTTTGCGAAAATTCATATAAAAACCTATACTTTTAGATGAAAGATTACGAAAATGCTCAAAAACCAAAAACAGTACACCGTTTTGATTGGGGTGCATGGAGGCCAAAGTGGAAAGAGGGGGTGGACCTTCCAACATACGTTGTAATACTCAATCTTTACTCGGAAACAGAAACTTGCGAGATGGATGAGCATTGTAGGAAGGTCGTTAAAGAGTTGCAATTGCATCACAAATTGAAACTGAAGTTACCCGACATTGCTTTCAAGTAAGCTTTAATTTAAAAGTAAACAAACGTTACCTAACAATTTTTAAGAGTACCTAAATGATGTTCCATGTTACATTTTGTATGTTTCTCCATCATGTTCTCTTTTAGCTTCCTGGCTTCTGAAAACTATTCAGTTTGAGGTTGTTCAACAAAGATGTACGGTATTTTATGACAAATTTCACTTATGCTTCCTTATTCTGGAGTTACGGTTATTGATTGTTAAAATCAGGTAGCCTATACACATGGTCATATAGATTAGAATTTTCAAAACTTCAAAATTTGAGACAATTTTACTAATTGGAGGACTTTTAACAATTTAACAGATAATATTTACAACAAAGTTTACAAATTTCTGATAACCATATCCTCAATATTTTCTAATATTTAAAATGTGTATCAACTACCAGTATACTCAATTTAAAAATCTTTGGTATCACTTCTCCAAGGAAACCCCCAAAATTTTACGTAATATAAAATATACTATTACCAAACTACACTTAGGGCCTATTCACACTGGGCCACCATGGTGGCGACACCGGTGGTGACACTGGTGGCCAGTCAAAATGTGCATGGACCACCAGCTCAGCCACCAGTGCAGCTGCATCCACAAAGCTCACAGTTGGACGTCGAAGAGGCAGGTGCTTAGCGTATTTTTTTTTAAATTGCAAAAACATAAGAAAAAAACATAGTTTTTTGGTTCATCCGTTTTTATGAGGTATAAGTACCAGAGGGACTTTTTTCATTCACTACCAAGACCTTATAGAAATAACCCTGACACGTTTCACACTTACTCAATAATGAGTGTTTTAAGTTTTGATGAGCTTCTGGGACGTCTGAAAGAAAGAAAGAAAGAGTTTTATTTCTCCATAAATATACAAATATGTACATAGAGAATAGTCATAAATTAATGATGAGTAACTACAATGTCATCTCAAAGCTTAGACTAACTTAGCACTACTGTTAAAAAAGTCATTCAAAGTATAAAATGCATTGTCATACAAGTATTGCCTGACCTTCTTCAAAAAACAATTGTTAAAGTCTGTGTCTTTTTCTAATAATAAGAATTTATTAATTACCTTACAGAGTCATATAATCAGGAGATTTTTCAAATTTTGCTGTTGAGTGCGAGGGATACATTATAAAATTACGTCTTGTGTTATACGCATTCGTGTGATTTTCAAAAAGGATTCTATTTTTCATGAAGTATTTACATAATTCATAAATATAAAGACAAGGTAAAGTTAATAATTTTGATTCTTTAAATATTTGTTGACAGTGCTCATCAACCGGAATATGATGCAAAATTCTAATGGCCCTTTTCTGAATGCGGAATATTCTATTAAAATTTTCACACAAAGTACTACCTACCCCAAACTACCAACCCATAAGTTAATCTAGATTGAATAGTTGCAAAGTAAACAGTTTTTAAAATGTTTTTATTAACTGAGTTTGATAGTACTTTAAGAGCAAAACAAGAAGAATTTAATTTTTTACTTAAAGTATCAATATGTATAGAAAATTCTAATTTTGCATCTATGGTTATTCCTAAACATTTATAAAAAATTTTTTCGGTTTTACTTGAACTTTCTGAAGGTTTGCGAGTTTTGAATTTGATTATTTCAGTTTTGTTTTCATTTAATTTTAATCCATTTTCTTTAAACCAGGTGCTTAAGTTAAAAATGCAGTCTTCAATATTAAGATCAAGACCACCTTGACTCCCTTTTTGGACTACTACAGTAGTGTCATCAGCGTACTGAATTGTATTCAAAAAAGTGGAATCAGCATTCTTGGGCAAGTCTGCGACATAAATTAAGAAAAGAATCGGCCCTAATATCGATCCTTGTGGACATCCTGTATGGCAAATTTCCCAATCGGAGTCATATGAGCCACTTTGGTCATTTATCCGCACCTTCTGAAAACGTTTTTCAAAATAGGATTTAATTAAGTTAATCGCTTGTCCTCCATAATTTTCCATTTTTTCTAGCAATATATTTCTGTCAATAGTGTCAAACGCTTTTGACAAGTCACAAAAGATTGCTGCAGAAGAGGTTTTACTATCCATATTCTTAATGATGAAATCGATAAATTTAGAAACTGCATCTACGGTTGAAAGATTTTTCCTGAATCCAAACTGTTCTTTGTTAATTATTTGATGTTTTTCAAGATAAGGTAGAAGTCTGTTTAAAATTATTCTTTCTAGCAAATTTGAGAAAACTGATAACAATGAAATAGGTCGAAAATCATCCAAACTTTTATCTTTGTTTTTCTTAATTGGCTTTATGATGAAGTACTTCAGCAGATCCGGGAATATCCCCAACGTTAAGTACTGATTGAATATGGAGGCCAAATGGGGGGCTAAAACTTCACCTACCTGTTTAATTAAGAACATAGTAACATCATCCCAACCAGATGATCTCTTATTTTTCAGTTTTCTTATAGCGGATAAAATCTCATTTGGCATCACAGGATCCAAGAAAAGTGAACCGTTGAAATTACTACAATAGTTTTTCGAATAAGCCAAAGCAACACTTATATTCGGCTTAAGATCTAATCTTTCAGAAACATTCAAAAAATGTTTGTTTAATGAAGCTGCTGCCTGCTAGTGTTGAAATAAAATATTTTTTCCTATGTCAACTTCAATATTAATGGATTTTGAATTTAATTTTCCTAATTCCTGTTTTACAACACTCCAAGAAGCTTTAGAAATATTATCAGCATTTTGAATAGTTTTATTGTAAAATTCCAATTTTGCCTTACTAACCTCCTTTCTTAAATTAAGTTTACAATCTTTGTATTGATTCTCTAATCTTTTGTCTCCTAAATTATTTTTCATCAACATAAATAATTCACGCTTTTTTGTGCTGAGACTAATTATTTTACCACTAAGCCACTTTTTTTTTAGTTTGTTTAAAATTTTCTGAGACATGCTTCTTTGGAAAGTTAGAATTAAAATGGAGCAAAAATGTTTGTAAAAATTCCTTGTATATAGTGTTTACAAAATCATAGTTATTTTCTTCATAGTTTATGCTATACAAAGTTATCCATTGCTCATTTTTTAAATCCTCATAAAAACTACTTATACTATTTTCTGAAAATATTCTAATGCTAGTTTTTTTCTTTATAATCTGTTCGGAGATGGCTATTTCCAAAAGTTGGGCAGTATGATCAGAGAGCCCTGGTTGTAATATTCGGGTATTTTCCACAGAACAATTTGTTATTATATGATCAATACAAGTTTGCGATTTTTTAGCTATTCTAGTTGGTACATTGAAACATAACTGCAAGCCATAAGCACCAACTATATCAATTACTTAACATTTTTGAATACTTGTCATTTACCAATGTGTTTACATTCAAGTCTCCACCTAAAATAATATGTTGCTTATTTACATAATTTTTCCTACTTGCTAATCTATCTAGTAATAATTCTAATTGGGTGCAAAAAATTTCAAAATTATGTTTATCTGGAACTCTGTAAATGGATACAATGACATAGGTTGAGCATTTCAGGGTAAGCTCTATTACACTAAATTCAAAAATGTATTTCATAGCAAGATTTTTATAATCCAAAACAATTTTAGCTTTATCTAATAACGCTTTGCTAACCAATATACAAGAGCCACCTTTTTCACCTCCCTCTCTAAAAAAACCTGATACATATGACAATCCTGAGATGTTCAGGAATTCTTTATTGTCATCTCCCAACCAATGCTCAGACAATAGTAATATTTTATATTGACTATGGAATTTTGATAAAAAATATTTAACTCTTCTAACTTTTTGGCACAACCCTGAATGTTGTAATGAAAAATAAGCATGTTCATTTCTCTAAAAAAACATCATCATTGAGATTACTGCACCCCTTGCTTACATTTCTTTTCTTATCTTCTAAACTATTACTAATATTTACAAAGGCTTTTCCTGCTGTATCTATACATGCATCAACTACTCCCAGCACTCTTTCTGGAATTTCACTTGCACCAGATTGACTTGCACAACACATGACACTTTCACCGGGTAGATGTAGCCCCGGAGCTGAGGAAGAAGACTGGGCTGTGCACACGTCTGATGTGTTGCGCTCCATCGCCTGTTGTGGGTTGCTGTAGCTGCCATCAGTTGATCTTAACAGGGCACACTGCTGTTGCTTGTGAAGTAGTGGCTCTGGCAGTGGAGGGAAGTTAGACAAGTCTTGAAGTGGTAACTGGGTGAGTTGCATGATGTCCTTGGCTGCTTTCTCTAGGATTGGTGTTCAGTGACTTTAGAGCTATCATTCAAGGTAAGCTCGGCTTCTCTAATATTCTGAGGAGAAGTTACTGCTGGGCTAGATGGGTTGGCATTGTAATATTTAGGTGAGTTTGATTTAGTTAGAGTAAGAGCTCTTAATTTGTTTTTAAACTCTAAGTGACTCAGTCCATTGTTAAGGATTCTGTGACTTTTCTGTTCGTACACTACTATTTTTATCTTTGCACTTGTTATTTTTTGAAACTTCAATAGTTGGTTGATAAAATTTTCAGGGAGAATTTTATCACGAACACACCAACTTTTGAAATCCTCTCCTTTTGAAATCTTCTGTTAAATCGTGAAAAGCAGAGTTGTAGTCATCTAAAGATGGTTTCAAGAAATATTGGGGCTTAGTTATTAGACTGTAGATTCCAGCTCCTCCCTTAACTTCCTGGTATGCCAAATACTTAGAAATACAGTCTACTCTTGATGGTCTACCAAATTGTTTTCTGAATTTCACTGCAACCCCCGCTGACATGTGTCTTGGGTCATCAAAGTCAGCAGAGATGCAGTGAGAAAAAGCTGTATTTTTGTCATTTTTACAGTCATTCATCACCTCTTCCATGTTTTTGTCCACAATTTGAATGGAGTCAGTGTGATACAACGATTTATTATAAAAAATCATAGTTTTCTTTTTAGGTTTATTTCTGATTATCAAGGACAGCTTCTCTAGTATGTTAATGATTAGACTAGCCAGTTTATTTTTACCGTGGAAATTTATGTGTAATCCATGTCTAGTAAAATGGGATCACTCTAGAGTATCCAAATCGAGTAAGTGAACATTTTCCAATCTCTCAACCAGTTCTCTAATATAGTTGTTTAGTAGGGATATTTCGTCCTGTGTTGCATGTGTTGGATCAAACCTTTGAGGTACTGTTGAGATGACCACTATTTTGCTCCTACTCAATTCAACTAGCTTATTTTCTAAGGATGAGTAAATGGAAGATAGATCTTTCCTCAGAGAGCCGTTAGTTCCTCCAATAATTATGGCAATGTTGTCTGATGATTGTACAGCAGTATCTGCATCCAAGATCAAATATCAGGACAATCTACGAGACTGTGGGGCAGCATATCTCCAGAAGAGAAACTGCTACTAACATTGTGGAAAATTAAATAAAAACATAGTTAATATACCATTTATTAATATGTAACACTGTAATACCTTGACTCAATGTATACATTGCAATGACGAAAAGAAAATGAAATGAAATAGAGTATAAATTTTGTTATATCATTAAAATCGTTTCCCCATATTTATTACCTTAACAACTTCAAAAGATTTGTAAACTAGTATACTGAGTAATGCCCACTGGTAGTGACTGGTGGCGCTGCCAGTCGCTCCAATGTGAACAGTCCAATAAGAAACCATGGTACGACGTGGTGGCGCCACCAGACTGGTGTCTTTGAAAATCGCAACCACGAGCAACCGCATTTCTGGTCGTGCGGCCAGACGCACCACCAAAGCTCAGTGTGAAGATGTCCCATTTAAATCAATGCTAATGTAACGTAGCCACCATGGTGTCACCACCGGTATATCAAAAGTAAACCATGTCACAATTAAGCTACAAATTAATTTAACATTATGCTCAGTCCAGACCAAACATGTTGCGACGATCGGAATGGGGAGCCCGGAAGCCACATTACCGAGAAAATTTGTTCACTCCAGTTGACAAGATAATACTCAACTATTACTCTCGTACTCGAGGCTGTGAAGAGAACATGGACTGTATGAAGATGGTGAGATTCATACAAGATGTTCACATGGACAGAAAAAACTACGGTGATATAGCTTTCAAGTAAGATGCCTAAAGAAATTTGTCGACATATATTTATAAATAGTACTGTATAAACATTGATAAAATATATACCGGTACTCCCTTAGTACATTTCTCTTCTTATGGATCAGCTGAAGGCAATTTTATTGTTCGTTCCATACGGTGCACTGTAGAGGTTGTGTTTTGTTTACATTTTGTTTCTTGTTGTTTCAGTCAATTAAACCCTCTTTTAACCAATTAAAAAGATAAAATCATATACAATAACTCGTCCTCTAGTTATCCAACAGTTAAGACCCCATTCATGAAATTAAGCCTTAAATATTAGAAACAAAATTTTTTTCGACACTAGCGATCAGTGTCACCAACATGTACTAGTAACGAAAAATTCAAAATGTTCAATGGGATGAGGAGTCACTTGTGTTGGTTGGTATAGCACTCAAGTACATAATAATTTGTGCTTGTTTGTATTATGTTTGACGACAGAGGAATTACACCAAAGTTCAAAATTGGTTCGTCAAGATTTTTTTTCTAATTACTCCTTGTCCTTCCTATTAGATAGGGACACCTAAGCCATACTGCCACCCAGCTCCCAGCTATATGTTCTAATGATGTAAATATGCCATAATACAAATCATAATAATCCATTGTTGATTTTTTATTTGATTTAGCATGAGAATCAACAATGGATATATTAAATTAAAGTATAAATTAAAGGATAAAATAAACCAATACTTGAAAGAATCCAATGCTTCTGTTTGCAGCTTCCTAATTGGAGGGAATGGAGTGATATATAAAGGAAGAGGATGGACGACAAACTCAGAAAGAACTAAAGGAAAATATAAAATTTACGATGGAAAATGTCATGAGGTGTGTCTCTTAGGAGATTGGAGAGGTACCTGTTGTTCTTGATTATTTCCTGATATTTGTTATTATCGGTAAAATAGTACTAAATAAAATTGTCCAGTAAACTTTTTACAGTAACTTAAATTCCTTGTACAATTGCTTGTCAAACTGTTAAATTTTCAACTCACGCTCTAAAAACTGTGGCTCTTGCTATTGCTATTATTAACTCTTAGTAAACTCATCAATTTTTGTTCTACAAACACCAGGTGGAAAAAAAAGAGAAATCGGTAACAAAATAACTCATTCGGGTCACACCTCACAAAAAATAACCCAACCGGTCAGTTTCAACTCAAGCTGTTAATAATTTATTATTAAAAGTGGGTCCCTCCCAAAAACTTCTGCCATAGACGGGCGGAATTCTTACTCTTAAACCATCAGATTTGATTATAAGAAGATTGAAACCTTGGATACTTTGATGCCCCTGGCTGGAAAGACACCTTAGACCTTTAGCAATGTGAGGTACCCCTGAACATGTATTTTACCTGTCGTCCAGTGGCACTCCTTTATTGCTAAGGGTATAGACTGCATGGCTATTCCTTATCCTATCCCAATTAACTCAATTAATTAAAGTATTTTTTTAATTGCCCATTCTAAGACCTGACTATAAATTATAGTACAAACTTATTTTTATCTGCACATGATAATAACTTCTTAATTACCGGATACAAGATTTGTTAATTTTTAAAATTATGTTTCAGAAAAGGAACCACCTCTCATAATGCTTGACGCTTTTAGAAAATTGATCGCTTATGGAATAAGAAAAAAGTTTGTGGATCCAACATATGAAATAATCGAGAGGAAAGAGGGAATTTTACCACCTAAAACCCCAGACATTGATGTTGCTAAACATGTGCCTGAAACCACTGTGGTAGAGCAGTTGGCACAATAAAACAATATGTAGGTTTAGGTTTTTTACTATTTTAGTTACATAAAAACGTTCCTATAAAATACTTGTGAAATTATTTTCCACCTTAATCATTAACTGTGTAACATTACTGAGTAAAAATGCTATAAAAACATCAAAAGTAGTTCCTATACATAAAAATAATGAAAAGGACTTGGTTACCGACCAATTGCTATTACAGAGTGTCTTTTCCAAGATTTTTGAAATTATTTTCCTAAAAAGACTTATTTTGTACCTGGACAGTAAAAATCTGCTGAACAACCATTTATGATAATCTGGATGGGATGGGCGAACAGTTGTACGTATTCTACTACATGACAAAGGCTTTCGATTTGCTTTCACATTCAACGCTACTCCAGAAACTTCGGTCAATGGGTATAAGTGGCAAGCCTCTTAGCTGGATAGCCACATACTTGAAAAATAGGAAACAGATAGTAAGCATACGACACTCAAGTCAGGATGGACTAATCCGAAATTTTTGTTCTGCAACTTCGCCTCCCATCAACACAGGCGTGCCCCAGGGCTCGAACCTAGGCCCGGTCTTGTTCCTCCTTTATGTGAACGACTTGCCTGAGTCATTAACCGCTGGTAATGTATGGACGTTTGCTGATGACATCAGCCACCTGTTTCACTGTGAGAATGAGGAACTATACTCAAGACCAAAGCCCAAGAAAGTTTAAACCTGATGAGTGAATGGTGCGATGCAAATAAATTATTGCTAAATAAAGGGAAAACAAAAGCCATACAATTTTACAACAGGAAAAAACCAGATAGTTCCCCACTGCTTCGACTCGAATGCGCAAGCGTCTGCATTGACAGCCATATCAAATATCTAGGCATTACCATCAGTGAAGACCTCAGATGGCCGAAACACATTGAAAGTTTGATACCAAGACTCACAGCTACATGTTATATGGTGCGACGCTTACAAAACCTAGTTGACAAAGACATCATGAAGGTCTATTTTGGTTGTTTTCATAGCATCATCAAATATGGAATAGTCTTTTGGGGCAGCAGCCCACTTGCTCAACGTATTCTCCTGCTACAAAAACACATCATTAGAATAACATGCAACAAAAATTATCTAGCACACTGCCAAAAACTATTTTTGGAATCTAAAATCCTGACCCTACCAGCCCTTTTTATTCTGGAGTCAACACTGATGGTCAGGAAGCCTGAAAACTTCAGCAAGAATGTACACAACTACAACACTCGCCAGATGAATAATCTACACGTACCTCAAGTGTCATCTAGCCTAGCAAAAAATGGACTAAGATTCATGTGTATTAAAGTTTTCAATAAAGTTCCAATGAACTAAAAAGTATAGAAGATGGAAAAGTCCTTAAAACCAAATTAAAAGACTTCCTTCTCAAGAGGCCTTACTATTCTGTGGAAGATTTTTTCAATGACTAGGCCATCGACAAACTGACGAGTGACGACCACGGCACATCAGTGCTTCCCAGTGGGAGACTTTCGTTTCAAGTATCAAGTATGATGTAGGGGAAATATCTAACCAGCACAGCGGATGGCCAAGGACAAGCTTTTCTTTTATATAGTAAGCTTGTATGATTTTTTTGGTTACCAAAACAAAGTACTGGGTGATTTAAAAAGAAGTAAACTTTATACATAACCAATAGATACATACAGGGTTAGGTAAAGTCTGGAACCCCCCAGTTAACTTTTTAACGCGTTGCAGTAGGAAAACCAAACTCGGCACATATTTACAACATAAGAATTTGCACTTTTTCATCAAAGTTACAACTTTGCCCAAGGCCACACTTTATTTAGTGTGGCCTTGCTTTGCCCCAGCCCCCAAAATGGGGTATTTTTGTGGCAGCCCCAAATTTTCAAATGTAAGCACCTATCATGTGACCCCTCATTTTAAAGGGTTTCTCTAGACAAATTAAATGGCGCAAGCCAACTTAGGTAACTTATAGGTAACTCATAACTTAGGCCCAGTTGGGGGATAATTATTTAGATGAGGGTGACCAAGCGTTCTGTAGTAAGTTATATATAATTAGAAACTAAATTTTTACCTGAAAATAAAGGTGCAAAAATTTTTCTGCTGCCACGAAAACTGAATTTACTACGATTTTTTGAAGTATATTTTAATGTTTTATTAGGAACATTGAATCAGCACTACAATGTTTACACTGCATAATCGAAGTTAATAGCACAATTCACATTTATTGTTTGATTATATGCCATTTTAATGTAAATATTACCCTCACAACCCACACTTAGAAAGGTAATTGTGTTAATCTAAGTAGGTTATAACTTATGTATAATCTATACTTATAAAAGGCAAAGCCCTCACTGACACACTCACTCACTCACTCATCACTAATTCTCCCACTTCCCATTTACCTAGGAGGCTGAAATTTGGCACACCGATTCTTTAGGTATTAAATAGGAAAACTAAGTTGTTTTTATTCTGATCGGACCCTCGGGCTCCGCCCCAGTGGCTCTGGAGTTTCCCATGTTAACCTTATGATTTTTCATATTTAAAAGGAATTAATGAATCTTATCAGCTGTTTCAATTAAACAAGTTGGTTCTGTTCTATGATGTTCAATAGCATTAAAGTTACAAGGATTACCAACAGGGTGCAGCACTATTGTTTTTTTTAATTTATGACAACAGCTAATTTGCAACCAAAAGGTGAGTGAGCGTAGCGAACGAACTTCAACCTGGAGGCGAGTTAGCGTAGCGAACGAGTTAACCTGAAGGCAAGTGAGCGCAGCGAACTAGCTCCAACCTAAAGGTGAGTGAGCGTAGAGAACGAACTTCAACCAACACGTAATTGAGCCATGCGAACGAGCTCATCTTGAAAATTAAGAAGTTAAACGGGGCAAAGCCCGAGGGTACAGCTAGTAAGTTATATAAATAAATGCCGCGCATTTTTTAAATTAATTTTATTGTGTTTGTAGTACTTTTAACAAAGTGCAAAAACAGGCTGGAGATAATATAAATCAACAACTCGATTCATTATAACCTAAACTTTACCTTCCTAATCTAACCTACCTTCAAAACACTTAATACAGTCACGAGTCCGCATAACACCCAACCTACCCACCTCACATGTCTAAATAAGAACTGAAGTAGTTCATAATCAACGCTCAGTTGAATTTATAAATGCCTCTACCTCTTTGTCCTCTTTGTTGAGCGGAGCGAGCGAAGCTCTTATACGTCGACTCTTATGCATTTCGTAATACGCAAACTCCTCCTAGACGGCTGAATCAATCGTTTTCAAATTTTGCATGGTGATAAAGACCATATCGGTGAGTGCCAACATCTATATGGCGATAAAAAAGTCTTTCAGGAATCCGCCCCACTGGGTCTCAAAGTTTCAATGTAATCCTTAAGCCCTCCACACACTACCAGACTAGACCTCTAGACCAGACCGTCTGGCTGCAACCAGACCGTCTTGGACGGCTCTACACACTCCCAGACCAGACATTCCAACATTCGTAATTGAGACACCGTGGTGAGAACTCCAACAAATGGATGAATACTGTCGCGACGGTCGGTCGTCTGACAGACAGCGCTACACACTCACAGACCAGACAAAAATAGTGGTGAGGGAACCTCAGACCGTCTGTGGTCTGAGGGTTCAACCATCAGACACGCAGACAGTCTGGTCCGAGAAAATCGGTCGGCAGACAGTCCCACACACGATAAGACAAGTGCCAGACGCCAGACCAGACGGTCTGGTCTGGTAGTGTGTAGGGGGCTTTATGGAAGCAGTTTTTGACACATAAACAAAGACATGATCAGCTGTTGACTTTTGAATGCAGTAAATAAAGAAATAGCTGATAGCATTATTTCACAGATATTAGAACAGAAACGGCATGGATCATTAATATAATCAAATGACGACAATAGCTTGAAGTCCGTGACGTAGGAAGTGGTGAAGGAAGTAGTAAAGGAAGTAATAATGGAAGCAGTCTGGAGTGTGGAAACTGTTTATGGAGGTTAGATTTAGGTATCTGCATTCCTAAAATTCTATGGGAAGGAAGGAAAACCGGTCCGCGACGTAGGAAGTGGTAAAGGAAGTAGTCAAGGCGAGCTGTCCGGAGTGTGGAGGGAAACCAGGTCCGTGACGTAGGAAGTGGTGAAGGAAGTAGTAAAGGCGAATTGACTGGAGTGTGGGAGCTGTTTATGACCAATAGAAGGTATTTTCAATCCAATAATGCTAAGGGAAAGGAGGTAAACAGGTCCGTGACGTAGGAAGTGGTGAAAGAAGTAGTAAAGGCGAGTTGTTCAGAGTGTTGGATCTGTTTATGATCAATAGATTAAAGTATTTGCAATCCAATAATGCTAAGGGAAGGGAGGTAAAAAGGTCCGCGACGTAGGAAGTGGTGAAGGAATAGTAATGGCTGGAAGGGCAGAGTGGGGGAACGTTAATTGGGCAATTAGATAAATGTATCTAATACTTAAATGCTGTGAGAAGGGAAGGAAACAGGTCTATGACGTAGGAAATGGTGAAGGAAGTAGTAAGGCTTGCAGTGCAGAGTGTGGGAACTGTCTTTGGCAATTACATTAATATATCTGCTATCATAAAATACTATGGGAAGAGAGGGAAACAGGTCCACGACGTAGGGGTGGTGAAGGAACAAGTAAATGTGAGCAGTGTCGAGTGTGGGAACGGATTAATGTGTCTGCAATGCTTAAAGGCAATGGGAAGAGACTGAAGACTGTAGGTTAAAATGAATACGAAGCACGAATCGATACATGCAATCGCTTACAACAAAAATTTACAACTGAGTTATTTATACCCTAGTAGCACAAATATGTATTTTATAAATATTTAATATATTTAAAGTTGTATTTGATAGAACCTCGAATAAAATATATATAAAATATATCTTTAATAATAGTTTGATATATTCAAATATATATTTAAAATATTACCAAAAAGCAATGCAAAATATAAATTAAATATAAGTTTTGAATTTATAAAATAGATTCATAATATATATTGATAAAACAAGTATAGAATCTATAATATACATATTTTATATGTATATTTTTCCTA